TAAATCGTTCCCCTAAATTGCGCTGTGTTCAACCTTAAAAACCTGAACCCAGGCTGTCTGCGGCCGGCACCCATTGTGCTCGACCTGGACGCCTGCAAAATCTTTGTCCCAGGACCAGGGTCGACTCACCGAGTTGCTCCCGGCTTCCTGATCCGCCGCCCGGGATCACAAATTGATGCTGCTCAAGAACGAGATAACCAGAGCAGCTGAAGTCGTCGTTAGACAACTGGTTATACAGACATTGTACAGACGTTGCGCAGCCCCTTTCTTGCGTTCTATTTGCAGAACCACGCACTGCAGAGCCTCAGCCTAGTGTAGGTGCGTTTACGTCGGGCTTCGACGCAAAGGCCGGGCGAACAGGAGCAGAGGAACAGGAGGGGACAGTTGCAGTGCGAAGACACAAATACCGACGGTGCCGGAACATTGTGGCTGATTCTTTTGCAACTTGACTAATCCAACGACGAGTCCAGCTCCGGTGCCACACCACTGCAGGCGCTGGAAAAGTATCTTTTTATTGCCACGCCCCCTCCCTTTCTCCCTCTCCCCACGAGGCACGCAGGGGGGCACGGATTCATTTCCTTCTATCCTTGTCATGCGCGGCACAAGGGTGCTATCAACGCTAGGATCTTCCTTGGGGGATACCCAGTGCAACCCCCAGCTCGCTTGTGCACAGGAATTCACTCTCAACCACCGGGATAATACAAGTACAGTCACACACCCTTCCTGCCAGCCTACTCTTTTTTTTTCTCCTCTCTCCTGCTTCTGCGACAGTGGCACATGCCATATATTCCAAATCTTCACGCATTATTCCCCAATATACGGTATCACTCACCCTTAATTACTCATTCAGTGACTGGTCTGCCCGAGTGCTCCAGTCTCTTCCACAACCTACTAGCGGCTTCTCACTGATGCCCAACTCGTTCGCCGAACGAAACAAAACACCAAATACCTGACATGTTCGCCGAAAGAAGACGATTCTCCTCCCTTCTTCCCGACTACATACCCAGGTGACCGGTGTCACTATCTGATGCGTCCCGCCAACGGCGCGTAATTCACGACATCGACAAAATCAAAGGACAAAAGATAAAAAAAAGATAGGAAACTTCCTCGCAACAATAAGCGAGAGTGGGCTGCAATTTGTTTTGATGAATTGAATGTCAAAGGGCGACATTGCAAGAGTCTAAACAACATGGCTGGCTACTCTCCCTATCGGTCGGCTCCCGGCGCGGAGTATTACGACAATGACCGCTTCGCGACACCAACCCCTTCGCCGCGAGGCCCTGACGCCTACTACTATGCCTCGACACCGCAGCGACCTCAGACACGAGCGCACTTCCGTCACGTTAGCAGCGGCATGAACGACTACGCCAGCCCTCGCCCGACCGCCTTCTCGCCACGATACAACAGCGACGGGCTCTACTCCACCCATGCTGCCACGGCCAATGTGAGTGCCTCGCGTTCTACGCGAAAGCCTTCAATTTCAACATCGCGTCCTAAGCGCGAACGTCGAAGCTCATATTCCTACAATCGGCCCTCAGACTCTTATGGGGAATCCGACGAGGACGAGTACGTCGAGGTCAACGGTGTCACTTATGTGATACCAGCGAAGTCGAAGTCGAGGCGACAAAACAAGAAGGAGGATGGTTTCTATTATACATCTGGCTACGAGCGTGGAACTGATTACCACCACCGTGCACAGACCTCTTCCCGCCGCCACCCTGAAGACCATGACAGGTACGAATCGGTACGGTACTATGAGGAATCCCCTCGTCGATCATCTGCTCGTCGTGCCTCCCAGTCCATCCCTCAGCGACCACAGACCGCGAGACCAGAAACGACTCGCCACAAGGCTCCAGCTCCCGCTAGAAAGGCGACCGACGCCGACGCCAAGAAGTGGGGGATCCCCAAGGGCTACTCTTTGAAGAACTGGGACCCCACTGAGGAGCCTATCTTGTTGCTGGGGTCGGTCTTTGATTCCAACAGCCTAGGCAAGTGGATTTATGACTGGACCGTCTACTCGCGTGGCTCGTCGACTCCCATCACCGAGGTCGCCGGCGAAATGTGGCTGCTTCTAATTCAACTCGGTGGCAAGATCAAGCGTGCCAAGGAGACCATGCCGCGCGTCAGGACCTTGGACAACAGGGAGATGATTGAAGACTTCATCGCTGGAGGCGAGCGCCTGACTGACAAGCTGAAGAAGTTGCTCAAGACATGTGAAAAGCCCATGCTCGCTAGCAGCAAGAAAGGACATACGCAGCTGGGCCAACGTTCGGGCATCGAGTTCGTCGACACCATGTTTGGCAGGGAGCGCGAGCTTGAGAAAACCGAGAAGTTCATGCAGTCCGTCCGTCTTTGGAATCTGCGCTTTGACGCCAACTGCGAGGACGTTCTCAAGCGCCCTGAGCTGTAGACTGTTTCCAGTCGAAACTCAATCACACACAAAACCAAAACACACGAAAGATAAAACCAGAAAAAAACACCAAAGAACAAGACACATCATCGACCTGTACGATACGATCTCATTCCGTCAACGGGGGTTTTCCTTTTTGGCTCGGGGTTTCGCTCGGTCATACACAATACCCAGAGACGCGAGTCTCACGGTGGATGTTATTTTTTGTGCATTTACCATGATACCCAGGGATGTTTCTCTGATATTTTGCACTCGGCATTCTGAACTATCAAGATCCACCGAGCAAGCACACCATTATACAACAACGCCTCAGTAACGGCTTCAGACCTATGATGGCACGTACGCATCCATGGATGCTTATTTTGATTCCCATTGTTATTTGCGGGTAGGAAAAGTTTGGTAGCACAAGTATGGAATGGAATGTATGGGATATGATCAAGGCAACAAAGCCAAGACGGCGACAATGTAATGGAATGATGGAGAGGTGGATAATGTATTTTTGTTATTTGTTTGTACGGAATGGAAGGGGGTAAAAAAAAAGTCAACAACATTGCTGGGCGTACAATGTTTTCTGTTCTTCCCTCCAGCGTGTCTTGACAGTTGCACGGCGCTGTTTTCTTCTCTATGGTAGTCTTGCCTCAGCGGTTGCTTTCCTTTTTTTCCTTCCCTCGGGTTTTGCCTGGGCCTGGCGGATGATGGAGATACCCCCCCATTTCACCTTTGTTTCGAAATCAGGAGGATCAGAGCAAGTACATAGCGAGAGCATGAGAATTCATTACAAAATGTTCTACCTTGCACACATCCGGCGTGGCTCTTGCACAGATCTCCTCTCCCCCTTGACTCATCTGGTGTCCCCCTCCACTTGTAACATGTGATGAGTGACTGTACAACCTTGTGCCTGACACCCACCCGCGTAGTGGCTATAGCCTTCTTGGTGACTGACTTGTCATGTGTCATCGAGACCCAAACAAACGGATGACGTCCTTTTGCTGCGAACCAGTGGGATGCAGTGCCTACGTTCCTAGCTACCTACATAGTAGGCACCCAGCAGTAAGCAGGCTGGACATGGTCTAAATGACATATCCGACAGGCAGGTAAGGCAGATGAGGGCTAGGTATAGAAGGGGGCCCCCGCCTTACTGCAGCCTTAACTGCAGCCTTACGTAGTGAGCTGCTCAGCGTGGCCCGCCTGTAGCCCGCCTGTGGCCCCCGGGTCTGCCTGCCCTGCCTGCTTGCTGAGCTGTCCGGGCGTCTGTCTGTTTGGGTCCTGTCTAGCCCGGGCCAAATATGCGACCCTAAATCACCCACGATTCTCCCGTTGGGCACAAATGCGACATTCCACTACACCAGGCCCGGGTTCCACCACTCGTTGATTAATCACATGCGGAATGTGCCAAAATAGGAGGCCGCTGTCAAAGAAACATGATACCTTTGTGTTCAATTTGAGCACATTCCACATCGGATATTCAGTGAAAACATTTCATATTTTATTTTATCTTGTGTGCGTGTGCGCGGCACGGGTTTCAAAATGTGTGATGGAAAAACCCTACCGGTGATTGAACCCCCATGCTATGTAAACAAAACAAACAAAAAGAAAGAAGAAGAAAATTCGATAATCCCGAAACGCCACGAGAAGTTTTGATTGATTTTGTGAAGGGATTGGCATGCATGGCGACTTTTTGTAGCGACTTCTCGCTACCAACATAGATAGATGGATCTCAATGAAGGACAACCTTAGCTAAAGAAGTAAATGGCAGCTGTCAATTCTTTTGCCCTGCATCGATGTTGGTCTTCCGCCGTGTTCCAGCATTCATTGAATCTTATTACCATACCTATCTACCTACTATTGTACACAGGCTCCCAGGGCGTCCCTCGTCGGTCAGGGACCCCACCCAGGCGGCCCGGGTAGAATACTGACACCTATACGAAACGCAAATATATAGGCACCGGGATGGCGCGAACCACAGGTCCAGAAGCACCCGATTCGTGTCGCGGGCGATCATTTTGGGGAATTCGGGATAGGACCGCGCCAGGGGTGTTCCCTCGATGCTAGAGAGTTAAAGGTCTATACGAACAAACGTTTCCTTCCCGGGGTTAGGGGGGTGGTGGTAAAGGGCACGCATTTCAATACATCAATCGTGGGAATATGTGGCGTCTGCTTGCGCACTATCTGGAGCTCGTGGCTGGCGGGCTGGCTGGGCTGTTTGTCAGAAAGGAGGTTTGGGGATATAAGAGTGTGTTATTGCTGTTTTGATTACAACTATTGGAATTGTTATTTGTCTGATACCGGATTTCCATCCTTCTTCCCGCGTCCCGGGGGGGAGGGGTCCTGTTGCCCACCGTTCTCCGGGGCGTGTGCGACTCATTTCCCGGCTCACACAAAAATGGTAAAATTGCAAATAAAGTTGAGGGAAAACCCCAAACAAACAGCCTGTCGCCAAGTCCACCCACGTTGTATTCTCACCTCCCTCTGCTCGTATTGAAATGCAAAGTATCGGGAGCATGCCCGAACGGGAGCCGACAGTTGATAGAGAAGGCAAGCCGCCTTCTTCTGCACACACACAAACGAGAGGACAAACAAGCAAAAAGAGTGCGTAAACCCGGAATCGAACCGGGGGCCCATCGAAACTTGCTATTGGCAACGATGGATTTTACCACTAAACCATTTACGCGGTCATGTTGTTGTTGGAAAAATGGGCCGTAGTGCTGGCTCATGACTGCGGTGAAGAAAGATTGAAGTTTTTGTGGAAACGATTATGTAAGCCATACAGGGATCTTGCCATAGCAGCTATTGCACCCCAGAACGAGATAGCACAAGTCCAAATCATGTCTAAGGGTTCCTCTAGAAATCTTCTTCAATTGATTGATACCTATGCAGTAATTCAATCTCAGCGTCCACGATACCGCTGACACAGTGCGCAGTCAATGGTGCAGGGAACAGAAAACCAAACATGCGGCTGGTCCCATCTCGGGAAGGTTGGAAAAAAAAGAGAGAAAAAAAAAAGGAAAGAGAGGAAGACCCCTCCCGAATTGGAGAGGGAGTGAACGCATCGCAGCGGTAGAAGGGCTGATCTTTTCAGATGAAACCGTGTTCCGGGATCTTCTTCCCGTGGCGTGCGTTCAAAACCCACAAAGGTGCATTCAGAAGGAATAAATTTGAACGGCGGAGTCATCCAGACCTTCCAATAGCGTTTCTTTGCAGCCACATGTGTGTGGGCAGAAGGAATCATTAGGCCCGAATATTGTCTCTGCTAGAGGAAGCCACCCTATTAAATATTGCGAGGATTGCGAGATATTGCGAAGTAAAAGCTCGGAAGCCGGCATACAAGCTGAGAACGTTGGGTGTGAGCGACAGGATATCCGGTGTCTCGGACAGCATACCCGCGGGGGTGTGGCCTTTTCTCAGTTTCATTCCCCGGGGTTTGTCCTACCGGCTCATTGCATCCCCCTCGCCGAGACAATTATTGCGTTCCATTGCTGTTGGGTCATTGCGTTTGCCAGTTGGCTTACTTCAAGCCCAGTAGTTGGTAAGCCAGCGCCAACAGCCGCTGTGATATATCACAAGCATCCGGATAACGGATGTCTTTGCTGCGCCGCTGTGATCAATTGGCTCCAGCGCTTAAGATGCTAGGATTGGGGGGGGGCGAGTGGTTAGTGGCCACCCAAAGTCTGCAAGCTGGAAGAGGGGGGGGGATCAGCAGCTAGAAAAAGCTTGTGATGCAGGACAGCGAAAAGGATTCCAGGTTATCTGGGATTCGCTTACAGCACAAGACTTGCTTCATCATTCACGTCTCCCACTTCGCAACATAATAGTCGATGTGAGTGACCGCCGACAACCCGCCATCTTTGCCTTTCGTCACCGCTTGCTTCAATGACAAGCAAGCATCTTCTGCAGCGTTCAGAAGTCCCGCAGGCCCAGATACATATACCCAAGCCTCCCGCTTCTCTTTACGACTTGCACTCTCAGAGGAGGCGAAAGCCCGCCGCAGCTCTTGAGGCGGATCGATTCGCCCAGACTTAGAGCTGACGTGCAGCTTTAATGTCATGTTCGGTATTGCGTCCACGAGACCAATCAAGTCCGTCCACTCTCTCCAAAGGGCCGTGTCTCGGTGTCGCACCGTCCAAATCAGCGTGAAGTGAGATGCACTGTCCCTTGCCCGCCATCTAGACCACCATATTGCAAGGCTGTACGCGCCCGTCAGACCTGTTCCACCAACGAGGCAGACAGCCTTCGCCGCAGTCTCGTAGGCAGTGTCTGATGGGACGTATGGCCCTTCCATGCGACAGAGCATAGCGCGAGACGACATTGCCTGCCCATCTTCTCCAGAACCAAATAGTCGGCTGAGCTTCCATGTCCATTCTTTATCCTCTGACCTGGTCGGTCTACGTCTCCCTGCGAGCGAGGCCCTTTGTAACAAGAATATAGGTCCTGTATATCATGCGTTGCCGTCTTCGCTGCAGTGAATGCATGGTTCTGCAACCCTGCTAATACTCGGGATGTTGAGATAGAAGGACTGGATAGGCTGCATGATGAGCTGCTTCTCATCCAAAGAAGCAGGGCCAGCTGCGAGCTCTTCAGCCGGGCTCTCCTCGCATTTTGTCGACTTTAGCGTGATTCTGTACCAGCCGTGGCCCGCGTCTTCCAAAGTCGCCGAGATTGTTTTCCCCAGACCGAAATCACCTCGGAAGATGCGCCAGCCCCAGTCCAGGATCCATAGGACAAGGCCTGGACCTGGAAGCAGAAAGTAAAAGTCTGTACTGGCGTGGAAGCATGCAGCGATAAATATCAAGGAGCTCAATATGACATGCAAATAAAAAAAAGTATTATAGCTCCTCCGGCGAAGCATGGGCAAGGCTGTAATTAGAATGACCAGCATGAATAAAAAGGAAATGGTACCGGTCCCAAGGGTGGCCGACACATAGGATCCACGTTCTCCTGTCTATGCCATGGTGAAAGCCGGGATATCAACATTAAATGCGGCTTTCCTAGGACTGTCGTCGGGCGCTGCGGCATAGGCTGCCACGAAAGTCTGGGAGGAGAAATACAATCAGCACGTAATTCGGTATGGATAAGACGATGGGAGGGCCGCACTGACGTAGTACGCTGCTCCATGCGCAAAGACCGCAACCACAGTCAAATATGCTATGAGCTTGTGCGCATATAACAGTGTGCTGTAATGTAGCTCAAACACACGGCTAAGTATACTATTTCGACCGACTGGAATCAAGAGTAATCCTAGCAAAGTATCCGCATGGTGCCCAATAATTCCGGTGACGAGAATCCGGATATGTGCCTGGGGCCACGCCAGCGGGTTTGCTTTTGCTTGCCCAAAGACACTTTCCGGCCCCACCCAGTACCCAGTTAGTAGCAATCGTAATGCCCACGATCCAGAAAACTAGAGCTATCCCTCCTACTGTGATATGGCGGTGGAGGAGTGGTACTTGTTTGCGAGTGAGATGCTTCTCACTGGCCTGTCGACACAGGGGGCTGAGGGCACGGAGGAAGAGGGCACAGCCAATACTGGCTAGAAGGGCAAGATACACTGCGAGATGGAGCCACGTCTCGTAGGGAAAGAACTCTTCCGTGCAGAGCGAGGAGTAGCATGGCGCATAAGTCAGGCCGACTGTAAGCCCAGTGCAGAGGACCAGAGTAACTACGACAAGGAGGATCTCAGAAAATTTCTTCATGCTGCTACGGTTGTCCGAAGAAGTACTTCAACGTGATGAATCATTTTACATTCTACGTGTACTCATCGTGAAGACATTGTCAGAGACCACAAAGATACTGTTCAGCTTGGTTCTACCATAAGACTACGTCGTTGACTGTCATATCTGGCGGTAGGTCTGGACAAGGAACCGATCCAGATCCACTACGTAACTACACGGCTCCGATTAACCCTCCTTTGTCTACCAGCTGCGTGGGAACCAATCATGTCAAAATGGCCCGTACAACTATCTGGCCCTGTACCAAGCTACGCCAGGCGCCTTTCTACTAGACAAGTCAATGTCAGATGATCGGGCGAGGTGAAAGCGAGGATCATACAGCTTCCAAGTATTGACCCGCTCAACTTCATCACCAAAGTTGATCCAGATTATAGGCGACCAAGGCTTCCAGTGAGACCTTCCAGTCTGCGACAATGTCATTTCTCCCAATCATTTGCCCTTTTTAACTCGCTACCTCGTGATTGCTGTGCCACTGTGCTCAATTGGCTCCAGCGCCTAAATTTTCGGATGCAAACTCAAAAAAAAACAAAAAAGGCAGATGTCTAAGAATAAGCGCCTGCAGAGGTGTTACTGCAAGGTAAATGCAACGCTATGCAGCATTCCATCCGGGATTTGGGGGGGGGGGGCAAGAACATCATGTGCGGCGGCGGGTCCTTTATTGAATAGCATTCCAAGCGGCTCATAAAGTTCAGCTTGATCCCCTCTATTAGGCCGTCCGGGTGATTGTTGGGGGCTAGATCGGCTGGAACTACCCTGATCAGTGTTGGGCGGAGTAGTCAAACGAGACATGATGTCTCTTGCGCATCTGCACGGCATTTCGCAGCTCGTGGCTATCATGCTATCCCGTCGGTAGACTTGGCCGCCTGAACTGGCCGCGCTATTGTGACGGGCCGGTGACGATGGTCTTGAACCTTCCAGGTGTGTTTTTCGATATCCCCCACGCGGAGGACGCTTTAGGGCTGAGGGTGGTAAAGGGAAAACAGAAATAATCCCTGTCTTGTGGGAGTGTGATTGATAAACATAGCACAAAGCTCCCCAATAGGAGCTGGCTGCATGCATCTGCGCGGCTCTGAGTACAACGATCCCATGATTTTTCCCTTGGGCACAAAAAAGAAAAAGAGTGTGGTTGTGTTGGGGAGTGAGACAAGGGATAGAGAGAGAAAGAGAGTCCATAGATGCACACCCTACGAGGTACTTACATGTGCTCGATTCTCCCTTTGCACCCTGGAAATCAGCTGAGGGATCCAAGGTGTGATTCACATCTCCCTTTTCGTACAACAGGAAAGTGCTGTTTCTAATATTGGGGGCCATGTACGAACATACACAAAACACACAAGAGGGGGGGAGGGGAGGTGGGCAAAAGCCACAGCACCATGCGCCCACTGCGAGTCACCTGCACAGGAACTGCCTAGTAACCCCCTGTTAGCCAGCCCCCGGTGCGTTGATAGATAAGCCCTACGGATTACGCAGTCAACAGTCGTCCAGTCAGAAGCAGTTAACGCTGTCATCAGTCATCTTGACCGGTCAGGCCCCGTTGTGGTGTTGCTGACGGTCAATTTGTGCATATGGCCTTTGCTAGGTGTGCTCAGCACGGTTGCACAGCATGCCATGGAGGGTGCGGTGCGAAGGGATCCCCCAGAGATGACCCTACCAGCGGTCCGGCGGCACGGGGATCATGATGAATGGGAGGGGGAGAGTACAGGGTGCATGCTCGATAGGTATCATGCTCGATGCGAATAAATAAAGAGAGCGAGCAGCATATGAGTCAGGCGATGTAATTATGGAGGTTGAGGCTGTGCGACAATGAAGGTTACATATGGGGTATTCATAGTGTGGGCTCTGTCAGTAGGATTATGTCTCGACGTTGGTCTCAAGCCAATGTCACTCCTGTCCAAACTTCTCTATTCGATAGTCAGAACATAAGCCACGAGGGACACATTGCTTTTGC